TATATATATATATATATATATATATATTTATATATATATATATATGTATCTATATATATATGTATATATATATATATATATATGTTATATATGTATACATATATATTACATATATATGTGTGTTTGCGTGTGCGTAGTTCTAGTTATAGTTATGCTTATGCTTATGGTTATGTTTGTGTTTATATTGATGTATATATTTATATGTATTGTCTATTTATTTATTATATATATATATATATATATATATATATATATATATATTTCCCTATAAATAAAATCTCCTGTTTAGTTTATTTGCATTTATATAATATAAATTCACTACAAATTAATTTATTTATTTTCGTGTATTTATATTTTCAGGTGTACGTACACCCGAGACGAACCTGTATGAACTGCATGCATTGCGCGCCAACGAAGTCCCCCGTCTCCTTGCTGTCTCCCGCGGAGCCCCAATACCATCGATGGCCCGCAACCTCTACCAGCGACGCCGCACCCCCACTGCTGCTGCTGCTGCTGCTGCTGCTGCTGCTGGTGCTGGGGTGTGCAGCTGGCGTAGCTGCAGGCGCTTCGGTTGCAGCAGGAGAAGGGGAAGAAGGACAGATAGACCCTCCTGTTGCTGCTCCTGCTGCTGCTGTTGCTGCTGCTCCGTTGTTGCTGCAGCTGCTGCTCATAGATTCTTGAGATGCACGCTGCTGTTGCTTTTGTTGCTGCTTTTGCTGCTGCTTTTGCTGCTGCTGCTTCTGCTGCTGCTGCTGCTGCTGCTGCTGCAGCTCTGTCTTTGGTGCGTCTGTGTCTACTTGCATGTCGTTTCCCTCGGCTTTTGAAGGGGGCCCTGAGTCCCCGTTCCTCTCAGCAGATCCTTTTGCTGCTGCTGCTGTTGCTGCAGTTGCTGCTGCTGCTGCGTTATCTGCTGCTGCTGCTGCTGTTGGTGCACCGTGGAGTGAGCCGAGCTTCTTCTGCGTGGTTTCTGTTTCTGCTGCTGCTGCTGTGAGTTCACCGGTTTTCGTTGCTGCTTCTTGCTGCTTTTGCTGCTGCTGCTGCTGCTGCTGCTGCTGCTGCTGTTGCTGCTGCTGCTGCAGCTGCTGCTCCAGCAGCGCCTTGAGGTTGGGGGCCTTTCCGTCTGCTGTTAGCTGCACCCGCTGCAGGTGGCGGCGGCAGAAGGCCAGCTGGTAGCTGGTGAGGGTTCTGAAGGCTCTCACAGACAGCTGAGACGCGAGTGCTTCGTATTTGTTGCTTCTCGGGCTGTCTTCTTCTGCTTCTGCTGCTGCTGCTGCTGCTGCTGCTGCTGCTGCAGCAGCTGCAGCAGCACCTGCTGCACCCTCACCCTTCTGCTGCGCCAATGCTGGCGCCACCACCTTGCGGAGATATTCTCTTATCGCTGCATCATCCAGCACGAAGTTCCCGTTGCTGCAGTCCCCGCTGCTGCTGCTGCTGCTGCTGCTGCTGCTGCTGCTGCTGTGTGGGGCGGTCCTGCCGCTGCTGCAGAGGCTGTCTAGCAGCTGAGCTGTTCTGTCTCCCCCCCCCCTTCTGTCTCCTTTTTTGTCTCCTTTGAACTCGAAGCAGCACCAGGCAGCAACAGAGCCAAAGTCAATGAGTGCAGTGATCGGCATATCATAGTCTGCTGCTTCCTTGCTGCTGCTGCTGCTGCTGCTGTTGCTGCTGCTGTTGCTGCTGCTGCTGCTGCAGTTGGTTTGTTTTCTTGCTGCGGCTCTCTCACGCGCCTCCTTCAGCAGCTGGGCGTGAAGGTCTAGCAGCTGCTGCAGCGCGTTGAGGTCTTCTTCTGCTGGCAGCAGCAGATCAGCAGCAGCAGGGCAGCAAGCCGGCTGCAGCAGCGTTGCTTCTATTGCTTTTGCTTCCTGCAGCGCCTGCTGCCTCTCCGCCCCCTCCCTGAACGTGCGAGAAACCTCAGCAGCAAACGGCCCCAAGGGGACGCGACGAAAGAGCCCATCGAAGCGGCTCCACTGTACACGGCTCCCTCTGCTGCTGCTGCTGCTGCTGCTGCTGCTGCTGCTGCTGCTGTTGCTGCTGCTGCTGCTGCTGCTGCTGCNGCTGCTGCTGCTGCTGCTGCTGCTGCTGCTGCTGCTGTTGCTGCTGCTGCTGCTGCTGCTGCTGCTGCTAGGAGACTTCTTCGACGTGCTGCCGCCACACGGGCCCTTCGCCGTGTCGCGCCCGCTCACTCCTGCTGCTGGGGTTGCTGCAGCAGAAGCAGCAGCAACACCGTCTGCTGCAGGAGGAGCAGCAGCTGCTGCTGCTGCACCAGGCGTCTCTCCTGCTGCTGCTGCTGCTTCAGAAGAGTGAAACGAGGATTTGCTGCCTCGCTGCTGCGGCGTTGCTGCTCCTGCTGCGCTGCGGCCCCGGGCCCTCAGCCCCCTCGTGGAGCCGCCGCCTCCCCCAACACTACTACCTTCTGCTGCTGCTGCTGCTGCTGCTCCTGCTGCTGCTGGCGTTCCTGTTGCTGCTCCTGCTGCACCTGTAGGCATTGCAGAGACTGCAGGAGGACCTGCTGCTGCTGCTGCTGCTATAGGCTGCTGCGGCAGAGCTGGCAGCAGCGGCGTCCCCGCTGGGCTCATGAGGAGCGGAGCAGGTGGGGGTGCTGCTGCTGCTGCTGCTGCATACAGCGGCCCTGGTGCAAAAGGGCGAGTAGCAGCAGCAGCAGCTGCTGCTGCTGCTGCTGCTGCAGCAGGGTATGTGGTGGGCCCCGGAGAAGCCCCAAGTCGCATGGCTTGTTGTTTGTGCTGCTGCTGCAGCTGCTGCAGCTGCTGCTGCTGCGTCTGGGTGAAAGCCCGCTGCTGGCCGTCGCCTGCTGCTGCTGCTGCTGCTGCTGCTGCTGCTGCGTCAGATGATGCAAGACTCGATACAGAGTGAGCTGCTAGGCCCGTGCTCGGAGAACCTCCTCCTGCACCTGTTGCTGCTGCTGCTGC